GACCAGCAGTCTTGAAATATCTGTTTTTCAATTTTTCTTAGCCAGACACGTGATAATTGTTGTGCAGGGTGTAGTTCGTCTGAATATAGTGAGAAGGCTGGCATGATTTTCTGTTTGGATGGTCCTTTCCACCCTTATGTGCGTAACTTACAAGATTTGTAGAGATCCTCATTGAGATCAGGTGTTGACGTTCAGGATACGGGTTCTTAGCTCGTTGTCTTTGTCGCTAAAATCTGTGGGACTATGTTGTGATTTTTCTCCCTTTTTTCGGCTCAGAATTACACTGTTGTATTTTGCAATTCAGAATAATGGAATTAGCAAGATGGAGACTGATGATTATGGATATCGTTTCAAGAGCTGTATAATTTGTAGGTATTTGTGTATTGTGTCTTCATTTATGTCCTGTAGGTATAGCGAGATTGTTCCGTCTTTAGTTTTTCCTGTAAAATCACATGTACCAACCCAGATGTAGAGGTGGATGTTACCAAGGAATCTTATTTTATTTGGTTAGTTATTTTGTAGCCATTTATGGTTTCTCCAGCTGTGCGTCCTATTGCACACCATCATAAGATATTGTTCTCTCTTTGTGTTGTAACACAGTTTTTAAGTCGGAGACCCTGCTGTCTGAAATTATTACAGAGACACAAAGTTTACGTGAATGTGCAGGTACCTCTACCGCAGGATGGTATTTGACGTACTTGTTTAACTTTCCTTAATTCATGCTTAGAACTGTGAATATCTTGAGTTATAATATAAATAAGTCAGATATAATCGAGATAAAGTAAATTCGAAGATGGCGCCAAATTCGAACGTGAAAAAATGGCGGCGGTTTCAATATACCAGCCCACTTGAATATATTTTAGTAAATACTTAATTATATTTTTCTTACAGTTGATATAAGCGTTTAGTTCTAGTTTGAGCTATTACGAGAGCTGTAAGCAGATATATGCTAGGGAATTGGGGGCAGCCAACTCTCCGAAGGTTCAGTGTGTAACCAATCAAATGTGTACAAAAAACAAGAAAATCGAAAATGGAAATGAAATATACAGTTTATATGTAACGTGTTTATTATTAATGTTTCAATGAAAATATTTGTGGAAATTCGGGTGAAAACACTCAAAAACTCCATTTTTGTGTTCAGGTGAAAAAACGTGCTGTACCTCGGTTTCGTATACAAATAATTTTCACAATCTGAAGTACCATGGGAGATTACTCTGGATTTCATTTTTGCGGGAAATTCCAAATTACTGCGAATTCATTTTTTTTTATAAATATTTCTTATTAAGCGCTAATTGGGTCACATAATATCAATAGTGGTGCTTTTTCTTTGTCTGTATCATGTCTTGGATCTGGATAAAACTAACGTAATTCTGAGTTTCAAGTATATAAGCATTTTTTTTACCGCATCATGACTCGTAATGATATGATTTTTACAAGGGCTCTAGGCGCCAAAATGACATTATGGTTATAATTTGATGAATCTGAAATTTTTATAGTTGTCTCAAGTTGAAGTTGTGCCATACATAATATATCCACATGGTTATTATAAAATAATTTTATTGAATAAAATTGAGAATGGAAATGGGGAATATGTCAAAGAGACAACAACCCGGCCAAAGAGCAGATAACAACCGAAGGCCACCTATTGGTCTTCAACGCAGCGAGAAAATCCCGCACTTGGATGTGGTCCTCAGCTGGCCCCTAAATAAAAATGTGTACTTGTTCAGTGAAAATAGACGTCATACCAAACTCCAAAACATATAAATGAACTAAAATTAAAAAAAACGTACAAGACTAACAAAGGCCAGAGGATCCTGACTTGGGACAGGAGCAAATATGCGGCGGGGTTAAACATTTTTTGTGAGATCTCAACCCTCCCCCTATACCTCTAGCAAAATTACAATGATACATAAATTAACAAATGACTACTAGCAGTTACTGACATGTCAGCTCCAGACCTCAATTAAACTGATTAAAGATTATGCCTTCATCATATGAAAATCAAGTAAAATCCCTCCCGTTAGGGGTTTAGTATCATACCATCACAAAATATATGAGAAGAACATAACCCGTATCATGCCAACAAATGGTTTTAGAATTAATGTGTTTATTTCCGATGCAAAGACCCTATGAGTGAATCAATATTAATACCAAAATATGCAATCCTTAATGACTTGACAACAGTATCGTAATTATATCCCTTCCGAATAAGTCTGTTTAAAGGTTTGGTTAGCTTTTGAGGTGAATGCCGACATTTTTGTGCTTTGTAAAGAATATTACCATAAAAGTTTGGATGTGAAATACCTGAACGTATAAGATGTCTGCATGTTAATTTATATTTACCAATGATGTCCTTGTACCGATGATAAAATTTAAGAAATGTTTTGACTAGTTTGTGATATCGAAAACCCTGGTGTTATAAAGTTTCAGTAATATAGAGATTTCTTTCGTTAAAATCAAATACGTTGTTACATACACGAGCGAATCGAACAAGTTGAGATATATAAACACCATAAGATGGTGACAAGGGAACGTCACCATCTAAAAATGGATAATTAACAATAGAAAATGAAAAGTCATCTCTTTTGTCATAAATTTTGGTATTAAGCTTCCCGTTAAAGATATAGATATCAAGATCCAGGAAAGGGCAGTGTTCATTGTTAATATTAGCTTTATTTAAGGTCAGTTCGGCAGGATAAATCTCTGTAGTGTACATACTGAAGTCGTCATTATTGAGAGCCAATATATCATCTAAATATCTAAAAGTGTTATTAAATTTTTGAATCAGATGTTGTTTCGATGGGTCTTTGCTGATTTTAGTCATAAATTGTGACTCAAAACAATACAAAAACAGGTCCGCAATAAGTGGTGCACAGTTAGTCCCCATGGGAATTCCAATAACTTGACGATATACGGAATCTCAAAAATACAAAAATGTTATCTAGTAAAAATTCACGGGCAGTTATAGTATCAAAGCAGGTCCAATTGACATAGTTCTTTTGCTTGTTGTTACTAAAAAAAATGACCTAAAAGAGTTTGAACATATATATTTGCATTCTGACTTTTTAAATGCCCATTTAATCAGGTGTGTGAATTTTGTCTTAATAAGATTATGAGGCAAAGTGGTATATAGGGTAGAAAAAGCAAAACTTTGAACATATTCGAAATCACCAATATAAGCATGCAATTTATCAAGTACTTCCAACGAATTTTTGACACTCCAAAAGTAATTAATTCCACTATTATCACAGGCCTTATTTGAAAAATTTATTACCAAGTGTACTAGTAGGTAGAATAGATAGTTTAGTAGTGGAACAATGGCTTGAAGACGAAATAAATCTATATTTGTAAGGAGTTTTGAACAGCTTTGGAAGCCAGTACAAAGTTGGAACTTTCATTGTATTTGGTTCTGCTTGTAAAGAGGTAGACTGCATGATTTCCACTTAAATATTCTGGTCCTTACATGTTGCTGTTTTTAATTAATTTTGCTACCTGCCTTACGATACATACTTTAGTGGCTACATTCCTTTGCTATGTACTCATAACAGTGCTCTCTGCTTGTTGTGAATTTTTAAAATTTGCCATAAACTCATTGCTATGTTCTAAATTATTAGTTATGTGCTTTATGTGACATTTTAAAAATGCTTCCGATCATATTCTATTTTATTTCTGTCTGATGCTTATGTGTGTTTGTGTTTATCTCATTTGAAAATATTATCGGCTAAACATTTTATGTTTATGTGTCTTAGGTGAAACGTTGTTTTATTGTGATGTCTTGTATACATGTATAGTCTGTTGTAAGAGCTCTCTTTTGGCCATGTTTATTGTTGTACATATGTACCGACATTAAATAAAATCTACTTACTTACTCCTATATCTTCCATCTGTTTTAATTTAATTTCATTCTAATTAATCAATGGATACAGAAGTGATCATTTGGAAACCATATTTTTGGACAAATAGACGGACTGACAAAGGGAAGGACGGACGAACATACCAGACAACATAATGATCCCTACTAACGTAGGCGGAGCATAAAAAAAACGACGTGTATTTTTATCCCCATAATTCTATTCAGCTTTACATTTTTAATCAATAACCAAAACAAATTTTCAAGAAATTCCGAAACACCAAATAACGTCTGCTTTGCTTTAACATCCAATATAATATTATAAATTTCGCCATCTGTTGTTTTTTAACATTTTTACCTATGATATTGTTTGTTTTGCTCCCATTTTGCTCCCACATTGTTGTCAATATAATGGAATTTTATGCGATTGTCATACAAGTGAGAGGTTTAGCTAGCTATAAAACCAGGTTTTATCCACCATTTTCTATATAAAGAAATACCTGTACCAAGTCAGGAATATTACAGTTGTTTTCTATTCATTTGATGTGTTTGAGCTTTTGATTTTGCCATTTGTTAAGAGACTTTCCGTAAAAAATGTTCCTTGGAGTTCGGTATTTTTGTTATTGTAATTTTTATAAAAATTATAATCTTATAATCAAATACTCCAAAGTTTGATGAACTTGATCATTATAGTAAGCTGGAAAGTAAAAAGATTCCACATATTCCAAACATTGATCTTCACATTCAAGTGATAGGGAGAACTGCTGCTTTAATTCGAAATGTTAGTATAATGTTAGAACCTGACGTTGCTCTTTCTAACATACCATAGTTTGTTTAAAGTATATCTTTGTTGAAACGACCGAGAAAAATCCATTTCAAATAAGACATTCTTATTCTGTTGATTATATCTGCTGCTGGACGTTAAACAAACAACAATCAATCAATTGTTTACTATACCTAGATTAAAGATTACTTAAAACATAGACATCAATTATATATTAACAAACCAATGACTAATGTACAAGATGCTTCAGAGAATCCCGCAACAAATTGGATACTCCACATTTTCAAGTGTGTTTGTAAGGGCAATACATTGTTTACTTTTGAATAGAAATTTACCAAATGTCATAAAAAAAAAGAACACATAGAGTAGAGCATGAAGTTGATAAAATATAATTATTTTTATTGAAATATAAATTAAAAACTTCAAATATAATGGAGAATGCAATTGAAATTGGTTATAAAAAGTTGTAATTTATAAAGTTGTAAATATATTGAAAGCAATATTGAACAAATGATTAAGCTGTTAAATGTGATATAAAAATGCTGGACTTGTACAAGTTTGTTTACGTTATTTTATAATTATTTCAAAATTGCAAATCATATGTGATAGACCTAAAAAAAGAATATTAAGATTTTTAAGTGGAAAATGTAACAGAAATTGTACCCAAATGTTTACTGTCTGAACATATATTTCTTCTCACATTAAATGAAAAAATCTTTTATCTGAATGGCTTGCTATATAAAAGTCACAGCATAAAGTTTAGCATTTTTAATGCTTAATCAAAAGGTACAAATACATCTATTTACAAAAAAAAAACAATACAATTATTACAGTAAGGCAAAAGTATTAAAATAGATGACTTCTCTGCCTTTTACAAAAAGACTCGTCATTAAAAACTCAAAGAAACATTGAAATAATTCGCACAGTTTTTATTAGAAAAAGGACGAACGAGAAACAGATACCTATAATTTAAACGATAAATTATAGTTCATGAAAAACCTAATCTGACGACAACATTTTTGATATATATTTGTTGTTTCCTGACATAACTTTAAATCAGTATAGGTATTTCCCAAGAAGAAGAATCGGAAACAAGTATATACCGTTAACTTACTTCAAGGAAAGGATAGACTAAGATGTTGTCTGCTGTTTTTTCGTTTTTTTCTGTAGTATAAGGTTTTGTCTGTTTTGTAATTTGTGTATAGTTGTTTGTTTTTTCGTCTTTTTATGGAGTATAAGGTGTTATCCGTCCAATTTTTTGTGGACGGTTGTCGCATTTTGTCAGTCCAAGGTATTTTCTGACCTGCGAATTATTATTCTGATTGTCATCATTTAACAATTAAAACAGTTAAACATAAAACAAATTATTAATGACGATAGACAATGTTGAATATGTATAATACGATAAACATATAATGTACAAATGTTTTTTGGAATAGTTAACGATTTTCATACAAGTTAAAGTAAGTACAGCGCCATATTTAAATGATCAAATAATGTGCGTAAACTGATTAAAAATATAACAGAAAACTATATGTAGTAACTGTATCAACTGTATATAACTATACTCAGACGGTGTAAAAACGATTCATAGCTCTAATCGTGAAAATGCAATCAATTATACCAACAGAAATAAGTTCACTAATATATAAAACAAAATCTAGGCGTCAAATAGTTTTCTTTAGGGTGATTTATCCTTTATGTTTTGCCAATGGCTGAATTCTGGCATTCACAGAGGGAAAAAATAACTCAGTTTGTCAAAATGATTCTGTTTCTATACTTTTCTTTGTGTCATCATAACAGTGATAGTCTTTACAAGCGTTGGTATTTACATATGTTTGCAGAATTTCGTAAATGGCAAGGTTTCCTTCTTTCATTTGTTGGTCCGCAAGAGTAATTATTTCATTTATATCATGCACAAGCTCAGGAAAGTTTGGGCGTTCGCTCGGATCAAATAACCAGCACTTTATCATAATTTCAAATCTGTGAAGTATAAAAATAATTCAATACATAATTTTGTAAAAGGCAATAAAAACATTCCACATATCAAAATAACCTTTATAAATGAAAGATAATAGGGATATAGATGATTATTTCTTATAAAGTAAGGATCTTGCAATCAGATTGATTAATTACTTAAAGGAGATACAATGGATAAGCGTTCGTTCATTAAAACGGTACAATGAACACGGTGGTATCACATATTAAAACAAATCGCATGCACTTTCAGTAAACTGTTCTGAAGTTTTTATTGAAATATTATGAATCTGAATGTCATCCGTAATTCACAAAATAAGGCATATTCGAACTATTTCCACGTATATATACAATGTATGTTATCGAGTTTCTAGGAAGAAACCTAATTCGAGCCATATCACGGTTTATACCCATAGTAATTTGCGATTATGCATTTGTAAAGATATGTAGTGAAGCAGATGAAACCACTCTTAATAAAAACATAAATAATTGACAAACTGAATGTTATCGATTTCTTCAGAAATACGTGAACTAGCAAAAAAATAAACCAAAAATAAACGAAAAAAAAATGTTTTCTTTACAAACTATCAACAATAACACACACAAAAGAAAAACGGAAAAACAAAATAAAAGGACAAAAATTGAAAACAGGGAATCGAACTTAAATCGACAAATGTTTATCAATTATGGACTTAATACGAGGTTAATATATATGGACCATTTTCCGATTATATTGAACGAGGACGACGTCTTACATGTCAATATATAACGTATTGTCTAAGTGAAAGTCCTACATTTATATATTACATATGTAAATAGAGTATTATGAAAATGGACTTCAATGTTCTTTTTTGTGTATGGTACATTGTATTTTGTATGATTTGTAATATTGACCGTCAATATATATATAAAAAGAAACATAGCACCAATATACTTAAATATCCTTTGAATCACGTGATCGTAATAACCAATGAAAAATGAAAATGCTACACCATATGTAATATTTACTGTTATTGCTTTGGTACGCGCATGATTAAAATGATATTTTTTTTGTTCTAAATTTTCAAGTTATAAGACTGAGAAACCAAGACTGCGCCTCTCTCCACCGAAGTTCAAGTCGGACTATTTTTACTTCTGTTCTATTTAGACCCTTTTTATTTTGATGACCCTATAATTTAAGCTTTGCATACGCTTTTCTTCTCTAGGGTTCTCATCAGATACCGGTAAAGGTTTCATATAACTACCGGGGTCAGACATATGTTTTAGTTTTTGAAGTCTTGGTTATTTTTCATCAGTATGTGTTTGGAAAGCGAAAGTTGAATAAAAAATGAAAATAACACGTACAATAAATTTCATGCGTCCGAAATTCTGGATTTACCTTCATCATGAACGCTCAAAGCCGAATATTTGAAAGCCAATGATGTATAAGAACCGAAACAGTTGAAGAGCTATATGACCAAAAAGGACCTAAAAATTGCCAATTCCATATAAGGTCACCTTTGCATAACGGAATTTGTGTAAAAATTATTAAATTTGTAGGAGGTAGCTTGAACTTTTGACTCTATAGAATTTATTAAAAGTCTGTAGAAATAAACTCATCATAGATACCAGGATTGAAATTTTGTATTTGCGCCAGACGCGCGTTTCGTCTACAATAGACTCATCAGTGACGCTCGAATCAAAAAAGGTTAAAAAGGCCAAATAAAGTAAGAAGTTGAAGAGCATTGAGGACCAAAAATTCCAAAACGTTTTGCCAAATACAGCTAAGGTAATCTATTCTTGAGGTAGAAAAGCCTTAGTATTTCAAAAATTCAAAGTTTTGTAAACAGTTAATTTATAACTATGACCATATCAATGATAATTCATGTCAACACAGAAGTGCTGACTACTGGGCTGGTGATACCCTCGGGGAATAAAAACTCCATCAGCAGTGGCATCGACCCAGTGGTCGTAAATAAACTCATCATAGATACCAGGATTGAAATTTTGTATTTTATATTATAATAGTGTTTGCAGATTTTAGGTTGGATTAGGACGAATGATTCAGGAATAAACTCCGTTAAAGGCATAAATATCCTTAAAACAATAAAATGAAAAGTATCATCAGAAATGTTCAAATCCTCTGGGGCCAAAATTCACACAATTGCCAAAATTTTCGTTCGTCTCAATCGATTTTCATATTTATAAATGATGGATAGTATAAAGATTATATTTGGTTCCGGCCATTAAGCTCTTCCAACACTATCACTTCTACATAATACAAATATAATGTTACTCACAGAGTAGCTGGACAGCAAGCTGGCCGTGGCATTCTTCTTCCTTTCTTTATGTATCGTAGAATATCCCAGTTATCAACTTCAGGGTAAGGTTTGACACCCCTTGTCATCAACTCCCACAATACAATACCAAACGACCACTTAAATAATAAAGTTTCGTTAGATTTCGCTCTGTTTCATCGTTAATATAACAAACTACAGGTATTAGTTCTCAAAATTTCTGCAATTATTTTCCGATTTTTACTTTCCAAGAACGGAATTAATATAAATAATAGATTGCGATTCTCTAAATCTCAGTTCTTCAGTAGACAAAATTCAATTACGTCATCCATTTTCCTTGCCTTTCTCTTTTTACGCTATTATGACGTCACGAAAAAGACAATCTTATATGGTTGTTTCATACAGACAGAAAATAATTCTTTCATTGATAATAAAAAAAAAGATGAAGTGTGCCTGCACATCGGCTAAAAAGGCAACAGATTTCACTACCGTATCTTGCGTTTTACGACATTTTATGTATACTCTCGATTGTTAAATTTTAATTTTTACTAGAGAGGAGAAATTTCCTATCCATTGTTTGTTCTCTAAACTCAATGTTTATTGTCAGATATTGTTTCGTGGAGTTCTTTTTTATCTTTTGTGTTCAGATTGAAATTTTAAACCAAAATTTAGAATTATTAATATATATATTATATACACTGACACACGTGAAAGTTTTCAATATTGAGCAAAGTCATTTGTTTGATGTATACACTGATTATAATAAAGCTTATTTTTGTGTGTTTTAAAATACCTTTAGACAAGATGGTCAGTAGCCATTTCGCACAATTTATTCATGATCATAATTTCTTATATCTGTACTTTGTGGTATTACGATAAAGTAAATTCAATATGTCTCATTTTTGGGAAGGATTACATTTCTAACCCTGCTACATTCTATATGTGCCTGTTCAAAGTCAGGAGCCTGTAATTCTGTTGTTATTTGATGCTGTCTGTTATCTATATTTTTCTTTTATGGTTTCCGCACAAGTTAGGCAGCTACTTGTCTCATTTGATTTGTCTGTCATGTTTGGCCTTTTATAGTTTACTATGTCGTATGGTATTTGCTCATTATTGAAATACGTACAGTGACCTGAATTTGCTTACATCTTTGGTGAATAATTATTGCATAGGCAATCATACCACATCTTCTTAATTTTATATTAAAACTATCCAGAACGTTTTGTCAGCTTTATTTAGAACAATAAGACGTAAGATCTAAAAACTTTTTGAAAAAGAGAAAGAAAAAAAAATAAATAAATTTTGCATAAGTATGACAAACTCTAGGTTTAAAAGAGTTAGAAAACATCACAATTATTATTGTATACTTTATACTGTATTTTAACAGTATTTTGTCCACAATGTTATAACATTATTGAAATATTTTAATACTTAAAATTAAATAAAAAAAACAACATACCACATCAGATTGAGAGGTGTACGTCCCGTCCTCCAAACATTCTGGAGCCATCCATTTCACTGGTAACATAGTCTTTTTATTATCAGAGGAATAATAATCCTTGGCATAAATATCTCGAGACAGACCAAAATCTCCCACTACAGCTTTAAGACTTTCATCAAGCCTGAAAATGTAATGTAGGGGTTGACAATATTTTAAAGCAACCCTTCAAACAATTTTTCGCTAATGTATGGCCATTAGGAACAAATGGTAATGAGCAGCAGTACCCCGAATAAATCAGGCTCTCCCCGTTATCGAATCTCCCATTAGCAATAATTCGATAAAAACGCGTCATGAATCATGAATTTTCTCTGGATGAAGCAACACGAATCTCGCTAAATTCGCGCGGGGGAGGGATTAAATGGGTCTTAACAATTCATATGGAAACTCAACATAAACTCTCACAAAGAAGAAATCCTGAACAACCATTGACCAATGTTCCTTTGGAATTTAAACCGAAGATGAAGCAATGGATCGTCCTTTACTGTATACCAAATTTGATCAGATGTGGATGCTGAAAATTCTTTGGGTCTTCAATGCTCTTCAAAATCGTATTTTATTTGGCCCTTTTAACTTTTTTTATTCGAGCATCACCATTGAGTCATTTTTCTCTAGTGAATGTATAAACATATTTGACTTATTACCCTTTATACTAGTAGTAATTATTCTACACTTAAGAAAGATAGAAACAATTGGTCCACCTTTGTTTATAACTATCTAAAAACATATAATCTTACGCGGGACCATTATTATGTATTCGGAACTATATAGATTGTTAAGACAAAATGTACCTGTCATCCGAATTGAATTTAATATTTTTGTCTCAACAAGTAACGTTTCTGAGGAACAATTCATTTTTCTAATTAATCTTTGAAATACATACATATATATATATATATATATATATTTGTAATATTTATGGTCTACTCAAGTATAAAACGTTGCTTTTTAAGCTTTACAAATGTAGACTAACAATGACATCAGAAACTTTAAAATACTATTTGGTTATTAACAAGTACCGTTAAGACATTTTGGAGACCAGTTTTGTTATATCTATATTTAAGATTGATGATGGTTTATTATGTACATGTTTTAAGTATTGAACTAATTCATTCCTTCAACATTTAGAAAGTGTTGTTATATACATACATACAATTTCTAGCTGCTAAATCTCTGTGTACAAATTTGATTTGTGAGAGATACTCCATACCTTTGGCTATGTCTATACCAAACATAATTAGATCTTTAATAGTTGGATTCTGTAATCATAATGACACAAGTTTAGTATAATAGTAACAGTGATGTATAAAACACATTTACTACGTTGCAACACTACTTCGAATAACAACAACTCAGATGAAATATCTTTTTTTTCTTTTTGACGTACTGCAACTCAGATTCAATAATTCTTTTCCATTTCCGACGAGAAACAAATTAAACACAAATTGTTTACTCCTTTTAGACGAACAACAACTCAGACAAAATAATGGTTCGCCTTCTATAACGAACAACAGCTGAGATACAATAATATTGAATATTAAGATTAAGATAAACTAAACCCTTTTTCTTTTTTCTGTTTGATTTAACAATTTTCACAGCCTCAAAGGTAAAATACTGTACAGGTTTTTAGTAAGATTACCTGTGTATATGCATTTGTAAGGTCTATGAACTTCTGTAAAAAAACATTGTCAACACCCTTCGACCAAAACAAAATTATAATAAAAAATGTATATGGGTCAGATACACATCTTACAAAACATAATGGTGGTTCATTCATCTGGCAAATGTAGTATAAAGCAGAAACTGAATATTTAGGCTACAAATTGGTTCAAATTTTAAAGAGTGCACACTTATGTCGTCATTATGACATCATAAAGCATTATCAATGTAGAAAATGAATTAATTGTTTAAAAAACTGTAATTTTGAGATTTTTATCTGGGTAAAATTATGACCTTATACAGATTTTTATTTTATGCCTTGAAGCACATTTCGTATGACTGATTGATGACTGAATATTATCATCAATAAACGATAAATATAAACAGAATATTTTTTATTTCAACTGTAGCATTGTATTAAATATATAGTAATTCATAGCGGTGGTAGACACTTTAAGTTTGGGATGAGAAGGGTCTACGTATTAGCAGAATCTTTTGTTATAAACGTAATTTCAGCATACATAAACAGATTAATTAATTAGAAATAGTGATTCCTTTGTGAGTCCACATGTTATTATAAAGCACTATTTTATCACTGTATTTGTCAATTAGTAATTTTTTGATTGTCTACTTTTTGTAGCTTGGTATCTTAATATTATGAGGCATGAGTAGTTAATCGATGTTTAAAACTTGTAAATTCATTTATAATTTAACAAACGAGATACAAAAGACCCTCTATTATGAACTCCAAATGGAGCAAATTACGAGGCGTCGACAGAGTAAGGATATCCTCCTATGCTTGCACCATCTGCGATGTAAATCAAGACTGCGCATTTCGACAGCTTATTCCTTTCGACATAAGAATGCAAAACCTATATTTCTTGAGTTGAGACAAAGACATGTCTTGAGAATTTTCATACTGCTTTACTTACAGTCTTTGCATTTCTTATGTAAGACAACAAATCGCCATGCTTCATGAATGGTAATATAACCATTGGCATATCATCTAAATCAAAACATATCCCATTTAAGCTGAGGACATTAGGGTGATGGAAATCTTTCATCCTAAGTGCTTCATCAATAAAATCATCTACATCTGTCTGATGAGTAGTATTTTCTGTAATAAAGATACTTTTAAATATCGTATTAATCAATATCAAATTACTCAGTATGTATAGCAAATTGTTTAGGTCATTACATAAACTAACTCATACTTGACATCAAATCTCATGTTAGATGTCTTTTAGAACATTGAATTTTGAAACGTTACTTATTTCAAAACTGCAGTATCATTTTCCACACAAGAGGTAAATGTATATAAAATACAAAATAGAAAAAAATAAGACTAGTTTACTACCACCTTTTTTTCATGTGTCTGTCTAAAGTCACGAACAACGTCCGTAGTTGCATGTCATATCTAAATGTATATTTGGGTGTTCATGGCAGGACTATTGTTGAAAATTGTATTTTGCCTCTGCATTTCTTTGGTCATTTTTGTCGTTGGATTGCTGTCTTACCCCTTATCTGCTTTAATTCATACACGTATAATATAACATAGGAATTTAATTCAGGCATGTATTAGTATAAAACAGAAATGTGATAACATTAATAAGGATTATACTGTTTGAATATAAAGTAGTAACGATATACTTGTACACAGTAAATGACTATATGAATTCTTTTCTGTCTGAAAAGTAGTTGAACTACTTATACTTTCATGTCCATTCTCTTATTTATTTTCTAGGTTTAAAAAGAGGTAAAAAATACTGAAGGAAAAAATCAAAAAATCAACAAAGTCCACTTCCAATAAAAGCAGACAAAACTGTGTACAAAAAGAAAAACTACCACAAGAGGCACCCCATCCAAACATTGGGTGACTTCAGGTCATCATTTCTTGCTGCAAATGTGACACCCGATATATAACTACTGTTAAAATACGTTGACGACACAAATCAGCTGATAATGCATTATGTAATAGCAGATAAGGGAATGTATCTTGTCTACCTCAAGACAGCACCAAATATATTAACCGTCGGTAGAGGTAAATTCTCTAACCTTTAACTCGTGCAAATGCAAAAGAACAAAATCAAAAATGATTTCAGTACAAAGTATAGACAAATTAGGAGCTGCAGTAGTGCATCGATTATCAAATCTCGTAAATAAATTAAAATATAAAGATCAGGGTTTATAATTAATATAGAAATCAGGTTTAATAATTAATGTAAAAATCAGGGCTAATAATTAATATAAAAATCAAGGTTGATAATTGAAATAAATCACATGGTACTAAAAACTAAACTAAAAAAGCACGGCGACCTAGCGTGTCGGCACGGTAACGACTCCTGCTAATCGAATATCCAAAACCTCACTCAGTCACGTCACAATAGCGTAAAAAACCAAAAATCGGTAAAAGTACAATTCAGACAACTTTTCTGGTATCTAAGAATGGCAACTAAAGAAAAAGCAACATGAACCATCTTTTATCACAAAACTAAGGATAGTCTTGGGTGCTCAGTTTTTCTGAAACAGTAGTTTCTGAAACACTAGTGGTACCTGTAATGCTGTTTAACATTGCATGCTAAAACTCGGTGATAAGTCGCATTTGGTGATGTCACCACTATGAATATAAGACAATGGGAGTATATCTATGACAATCTTTACGACCAAATGAATGATTTCGGCTTTCTGATTGAACTTTAAATTTCTATGTAGCAACATTCCAGCAGCGAATATATGTGGGGTTCATGTCTGTCATATTTGTTTTTCGTAAATTGTTTTGATATAAATTAGGCCGTTGGTTTTCTCGTTTGAATTAATTCATATTTTTCATGTCGGGGCCTTTTATAGCTGACAACACGTTATGGGTTTTTCTCATTGTCGAAGGCTGTACAGTTTCCTATAATTGCTTACATACACTTCACTTCAAATTTGGTGGATAGTTGTCTCATTGGCAATCATACCACATCTCCTTTATATATATATATATCTCCCAGTTGAAACGACATTCCATATCTTGCGTTTCTATAATGATTTCCTTGATAGAGAGTTGCTGCTTACAAGGAAGCGACTGAACAAAGAGTCCCAGGTAGTAAACTTGAAGTCATCCCTTTAAAAGTTTTAAGGACGCCATTACGAGTTGGTTGACCAACTATTTATGTCACAGATGATCACGGATGTCTTAATTGTCGTAACCACGGTCCCGTCCTCTTTCCCTCGATTGTGACATCACCGAATTTGGATTTGTACTTAGCAGGACTAATACGATGGGTGCCACTAGTAGATCAGGATCTGATTAACCGCCCAGAGCACATAAGATCACCATCATCTTTTTGCTGGGTTCCTGTTGCTCAATGTTTTGTTTTCTATATAGTTGTTTATGAACTTATTTGTTTTTTCGCTGTCTTTTGGTTTGTTTCTTTTTCCATAGCGTTGTCAGATTCTCTCAATTTATGAGATATGAATGTCAACTTGGTATTTTCCGTCTCTTTTCCACAAATCCTAAAACTTACGATTAAGTGTTTTCACGGCTACAAGTTGTGGCTTTGTTTCAGTTGAAAGATTGAGGACCTCTATATATGCTTTATATACACATCCAAAATGCCCTACAAAAAGCATTGTGAATAAGGAATTTCATAAACAGGAATGCTTACAGCATCAATTTGTCATTATGCTAATTTTGAAATGCAGCAATTAAACATTGCTTTTCATTTCTGTATAAAATATCGTGTAAAGAATATAAAATAATCATAAAGCATATAATAAAAAAAATATATAAATTTTGTATCACAAGTTCTTAATTGTATTATAAGTCATAATAATAATTATAACTAGATTGGTAATTGCTAGCAATAACGGATGGCACCCTCGTCCCCCCATTGCCAGGATAACGGCAGCCATTTTTAAAATTCAAAAGTCGAACATCGTATCTACACATGCCAGTTATCATTACTGTAAATTTTCAGAAAGTTTGAAATTTTTTGACATTTTTGCTGTTTCCATGGTAACGGCGGCCATTTTGAAAATTCCAAAATCATATATCAACTCTGCACATGCCAGTTAACATTTCTGTGAAGTTTCATGAAGTTTGGTGCATTTTGAATTTTTTGCAGTTTCCATGGTAACGGTGGCCATTTTCCAAATTCCAAAGACATATACCACTTTGACATATTACATGTTACGTACCCATAAAGTTTCATTGGGTTAAATATTATATTGTTTAAGAAAAATCAGCTTTAATGTGTTTTCCAATAGAGCCAATGTTAAACTTTCGCCCTGTTTCCATGACAATGGCGGCCATTTTGGAATTTCTAAATATTGTTGGTACATCAAGGCATACCAAGGAACATTTCCATAAAGTTTCATCCAGTTAGGTCTTACAATGAAAGAATTGGATTTTTGATTTTTTTTACATTTTTACCGTTTCCATGGGAACGGTGGCCATCTTTGACCATTCCATAGCAAGGTGCACATCTTCACATGGGGGTCCTCATTATAGTAGAGTTCCATCAACATTGGCCCATTTGAATCCGAGAACTAGCGTGGACAAAAAGTGTAGAAGAAGATTAATAAAAACTAGATTTGCCATTGCAAGCAATAGCGGAAGGCACCCTTCCCCCATTGCCAGGTGAGCGGCAGCCATTTAGCAAATTCCAAAGTCAAAGAGTGCATCTACACATGCAAATTATCATTTTTGTAAAGTTTCATTAAGTTTGGAGCATTTCGAAATTTTGAACTTTTTTGCTGTTTCCATTGTTACGGCAGCTATTTTGAAAATTCCAACTTCAAAATGCAACTCTGCCCATGCCAGTTACCATTACTGTAAAGTTTCATCCAGTTTGCAGCATTTTGATTTTTTTTGAAATTTTGAACATTTTTGCTGTTTCCATGGTTACAGTGGATAATTCCAAAATTCTAAAAGCAGACATCTCATTGCCACATGTCATGTTATATATCAATACAGTTTCATTGACTTTGGTCAAATACTCTTTAAGAAAATGCTGATTTTATGCATTTTCCTATAGGGTCAATGTAAAACTTGCCCCCAGTTTCCATGACAACGGCGCCCATTTTGGACTATCAAAATATTGTCTTGACATCTTAGCATACTGGGTAACATTTTCATAAAGTTTCATCCAGTTGGGTCTTATAACGAAAGAGTTGGAATTTTTGATATTTTAGCTGTTTCCATGGTAACGGCAGCCATTTTGAAAATTCCAAAGTCAAACTGCAAATCAGCACATGCCAGTTACCATTCCTGTGGAGTTTCTTCCAGTTTGGAACACTTTGATTTTTTGGCATTTTTGCTGTTTCCATGGAAACGGCGGCCATTTTTTACCATTCCATAGCAAGGTGCACAACTTTACATAGGGATCCTCATTATAGTAGAGTTCAATCAACATTGGTCCATTGGATTCCAAGAACTCGCGCGGACAAAATTTGTGCAAGAAAAATAACTAGATTTGTAATTGCTAGCAATAACGGATGGCACCCTTTCCCCATTGCCAGGGTAACGGCAGCCAATTTGAAAATTACAAAGTCGAAAAGCGCATGTAGACATGCCAATTAACATTTTTGTAAAATTTCATGAAGTTTGGAGCATTTAAAAAATTTTGAAAATTTTGATGTTTCCATGGTTACTGTGACCATTTCCAAAATTCCAAAGACAGATGCCACATTGGCACATGCCATGTTACATATCTATAAAGTTTCATTGGGATTGATGCTATATTCTTCAAGAAAATGCAGCTTTAATGTATTTTCCCATAGGGTCAATGTTAAACTTTCGCCCTGTTTCCATGACAATGGTGGCCATTTTGGAACTTCTTAATATTGCATGCACATCTAGGCATATCAGTTAACACTTTCATAAAGTTTCATCCACTTGGGTCTTATAATGAAAGTTTTGGAATTTTGAAAATTTATTACATTTTTGCAGTTTCCATGGAAACGGTCGCCATCTTGAACCATTCCATGCACGCTGCAAAACTTAACATGGGGGTCCTCAATATGGTAGAGTTCCATCAACATTGGTCCATTAGATTTCGAGAAATGGCGCGGACAAAATATGTGGAAGAAAAATAAGAAAAATAACTAGATTTGCCATTGCAAGCAATAGCGGATGTCACCCTGCCCCCCATTGCCACTAAGCGGCAGCCATTTCGTAAACATTTTAAACAATGAATGCAAATAAATATATTGCTGTACATCTTTCTATAAATTTTCAGAACATTTAGAATTTTGAAATTGTTGACATTTTTCTGTTTCCATGGCAACAGGAGCCATTTTGGAAATTCCAATGTCAAAATTCTCATCTTTACTTGCCAGTTAACATTAATATTAAGTTTCAGTAAATTTGGAGCATTTTGAAATTTTTAGACATTTTTGAATTTGTGCTGTTTCCATGGCAACAGTGATCGTTTCCAAAATTACAAAGATGGATGCCATATTGGCACATGCCAGGGAACATTCCATGAAAGAATCAAGGTATTTGACCTACCATGTTCAGTGAGTAAATGCTACTTAAAGAATTTTCCCATAGGGTCCAATGTTAAAACTTTGTCTCCGGTTTCTGTGGCAACGGCGGCCATTTTTGAAATTCCAAAGTCAAATGCCACATTTACATCTGCCAACTAACATTTCTGTAAAGTTTCATTAAGTTTGGAACACTTTCCTATTTTTCGCATTTGTGCTGTTTCCATGGTAACGGTGGCCATTTTAAAAATTCCGAAGATGTCCTGCACAACTTTAGATGCTGGACCTCATTATGTTAACCATTCAATAGGATTGGTCCACTAAAATCCCAGAAACGCTTCGGACAAAATAGGTGGAAGAAAAATAATAATAAAAAGAAACGGAGGAAAGGCAATATGTCACCCGACATTGTCGATCGGTTGACATAATAAAAAAAAAAGAAACGTAGAATAACAATACGTCACCCCAACTCCGTTGAGGGTGCCATAATCATCAATTTGAAAATATAAAAACATTAAAGATCACAACCAAAACAAGTTAAGGATATGATGAAACAACTGCAGCACACCTTCTTTTCTCTAATTTATAAGTAGAACAGGAAGGCCAGTTCTAGTAAAGTTTTCCAAATGTTGAGTCATTTTTGTAGTTCACCAATACAAAGTTGGGGCATTAAGGCCGGTTTGGCCAAGGAAAATACAGTTTTTGAGAGCTATTCCAAATTTGCACATAATGTTTGGAAATTCATAAAATCAAGAATTATATAAGTTTTTGGATGTTATGAAATCACAATTGCGTCATCATATGCATAGTTTTTTATGAAATTGATGAAATGAAGTTTCCCCGAAAAAAAATTCGAAAGTACTGACGATGAAGTACTTAAATTTTCAAATGATGTGCTATATTCTCAATTAGAACCTGGTGAAATAGATCTCACAGAGTAGGTCCTCCGCGATCTAATGATAGTAACAAAAAAAAACTCGTGAAATAATTGTTAGGTTTGTGTCGTACAAAAGCAGACAAAAACTCTTAAAATGTAAAAAACAATGTATGAATTCAATAAGAGCTATGGTACTAACTACCTGATGTATGAAGACCTCACACGCAAGCGATCTGAACTAGCCTTTAATGCACGTTGGCTAAAAAACAACAACTACATTAAAGAAACCTGGACTTTTGATGGGAAAGTTTTTATTAAAATGCCAGACGACCGCATTTTTTTGTGCACTAGGCCATCAGATTTTCCGGCGGCATTCTAAAATCACCTACCAATAATAATCAATAATTAAACTAAAGTTGTTACAATACGTCCAGCTGACAAACCATTCATGAATTCCACTATCCGTAGGAAAATGAGACTAAGAAATAGAATTGATCAGAATTCATTACAAAACAAAAATACTAATAATTGTATCCATTGGCAAACATTTAGAGAATTACGAAATGAGGTGATTGATTTGGTTAGAATATCAAAAGAGCAATATAAACAAAAACTTACAAAGGAAATTACTGACAAAAATATATCACCAGGAAAGTGGTGGAGGATTGTAAAATCTATTTCTAAATTATCAAAGTCTCGTGAACCTACACCTTTTTTTAAATCTGAAGGTCAAATATTTTTACATCCAGTAAATAAAGCTGAACTCTTAAACACTCATTTTTCAAATATTTCTAAAATTGATATTGAGCCTGAGCTTCCAAATAATGTACCAGACCCTCCATTTAAAGTGGAGGAAATAATTATCAATCAAAATGAAGTTCTCGATCAATTAAAAAACCTTAATTGTAATAAACCTTCTGGTCCTGATGGAGTTTCCCCTAGAATTTTGAAAGAAATTAAATCTGGTATTGTCAAACCACTTATTTTGTTATTCAATATTTCACTGAAACTCAAAAAGGTTCCATATCACTCCTGATTTTAAGGGAAGGGGAAGCTGTCATGATTCTGTTAATTACCGACCTATTTCACTTACAAATATTATATCACAAATTATGGAGAAAATTTTGTTCAAACATTTATTTAATTACATGAAAGATCACAATTTATTATGTAAATTTAAATCTGGTTTTCAACCAGGTGATAGTACAGTAAATCAACTAGCAGGGATATATAATACTATTATTTCCAATCTTGATAAAGGAAAAGATATACGCTTTCTTTTTGTGATATTTCTAAAGCTTTTGACAAAGTTTGGCATGATGGTTTATTATATAAATTGAAAGTTTTTGGTATTCATAGTAATTTAATTGATTGGATTGGAGACTACCTAGGTGACAGATGCCAGAAATTTGTTTCGGATGGGTTTTATTCATCTCAAAAAGGTATCAGTGCAGGGGTACCCCAAGGCTCGTATTGGGTCCCTTCCTTTTTTTAACTTATATAAACGACATTGTGGAAAATATGAGTAATCATATTAGAGTATTCGCAGATGACACCTCTTTATATGCCATTATTGATGATGATTATGATACTGCTTCTAGGTCATTCATTGATGATCTTTGGAGGATAAAAACATGGGCTGAAAATTATGCTGTTACATTTAATCCCTCCAAAACAGATACCCTTTTATTTTCTCGAAAAGACATAATTCCTCCTTCTTTATATTTTGGTATTGGTGGGGTTCAAATTAAAAAAGTTAAAAGTCACTTTCACCTAGGTCTCAACTTTGAGAGTAAGGCTAGTTGGAAATTACATATAAGTACAATTTATAAAAAGACATGTTCTAGATTACATTTATTAAGACAAGTAAAATACAGTTTGGATCGAAATGTACTTATTACAATTTATACAGTATTTATTCGCCCTATTCTAGAATATGTAAACATTATATGGGATAATTGTACTTTACAAGGAGCTAACTTATTTGAAAGTGTTCAAATTGAAGCTGCTCGTATTATTACTGGTCTCCGACGTACAATCTCTCTTAAAAAATTGTACACTGAATTAGGTCTTGAAAAATTAGCAGACAGAAGGAAGAAGCATAAACTGACTACATTTTATAAAATAAAAAATGGATTTTCACCAAGTTATATGATAGATTTATTAAAACCTTGTCTTTCCACACAAAATGATTACAATTTTAGAAGAGATCCTCAGAATTAGACCATTTCAAGGTGCAGAACAGTTTCATATTATAGAAGTTTCATACCATCTGTCGTTAAACTCTGGAATGAATTAGATCCATATGTAAAAAAATGCTTTGTCGATTAACCAGTTCAAATCTTAACTTGATAAAATATATAAACCAGAGATTCCTCCTTAATATTTTTGTTCAGGTATAAGAAAATTCAATATTATTCATTGTCAATTGCGAAATGAAGCAAGTAATTTAAATTCTCACTTGTTTCATGATTATTTTATTGAAGAAACTTCCTGTCCTAAATGTTTATATCAATGTGAAGACAATCAACGTTACTTTTTTGATTGTCCATCATACACTTTAAACAGGACCATACTCCTTGATAAATTGTCTGCTTATGAAGTTGATATTGATTTGAAGTTATTACTATTTAGTGATCAATCTATGAGTATTGAATATTCAGATAGTTAAGGCTGTTCGTGAATACATTAAAAATTCAGAAAGACTTGTATAGTGAAATATATTTTATAATCCGAATTTAAATAAACTTGTTACTTTGTATGTCTGTAATTTATTTTATATTCAAGTTATTAGACCCCAACCGGCTGAAAAATAGTTAAAACTGAAACAAAATTAAAAAATAAATGACAATAATTAGTATTATAAAAGCTACAAAACAATAAATGCACCTCTATTTTCTACATCATTCAAACCCGCTTTTGTATAATTTTGGTTTTTTATTCTGATTTTTTTTTAAATTTTTTATTTACATTCTAAATTCTTTTTTATATTATTTATGATTCTTTAATGTATCAATATGATTATTTACTCACTGTTGTTATTCTTCAGGTGCGATAAATTAGTAAAAATAAGTACATGATATCAAACATGTTGTTTTGAAAATATGAGTTATTATAATAATAATATTGAACAGCTGACTGGAGACAGTTTAATTTAATGTAAGGCCTCTAAATCAATATTGGAGTTTATTACTTAGAATATTAATAAAAAAAAATTCTGAGTTAACTATTTGAAGCATTCTTAGAATATTTATGATTTTTATCTGAGTTAACTTTTTGAAGTATCCTTCCAGTCAGCTATGAGGTATTTTTGAAAAATAATTCTGTGTTGTCATTATGTTTGTGTATGTGTTGTTTTGTTTGAATGTAATATATTGTACCTTGTTTTATGGAGAGGGCTTACATAGGCTTTGCCTGTTGCCCAATCCAATTCAATTTATTTGAATAAAATACTGTTTAAACTAGACTAAGTTTTCCATTGTTATTTCCATAGTGGAAATATCGTGCGAAACCAAGAAAAAACAAAATAATTCAAAAAAAGGCTTTAATGTAGCCATTGACATACGCTCACCTAATATAAAGTTGTTTCTTGAATGCGCTTTTGATGTAAAACAAGGAAAATCAAGAAATTTTACAAAATATACATATTAAGTCAGGGTTTGTTGCCATGGTTACTCATTAAATTTGGAAATTTGTTTTTATTTTTCAAACTCCTTATACCTTAGTGTAGTAAGGACAAATTTAAGAATATATATGGTAATTTTTAAATCTTTAGTAATACTTAGGGCAAATAAGGACCTTATAGCCCTACTCCTTTTCTATCTTGCAGATACAAGCTCTTTCATATAGGTCAAAGATGTCTGTAATGTCTGTGTTGCCAAATGTTCAACAGCAATGCATATAGATTCATTTCATTTTGATTTCATGGATCGGTGTAAATAATTTTAAATTCGTTAATGTATGTAACATAGACTATCTGACCTTTAGTGTTTCACAAATTTCGAAGTGTGAATGAACTTCCGGGTAAATTGGTTCTACCTTTTTTTCATTCTTACATCAACATCTGCGATCAAGGTGAACAACTAGTATTAAAGACATATACTGAATGATTTCTATTGCGGCATGTGTAATATTTATGCAGAATCAAACGTTAGTATGGTATCATTTATTTTCAAAGTTCATAGAAAAGTTGAAAAACTGATATGGGAAAATTAAATCGGCTTCTAAGTGTTCTATCTACTATAATATAGGCATTTCATTAGAGAAGTATCTCCGTTATGATTGACAATTCGACTAATTAAAGAACAAGCAAACCGTAATGAACTCGTTTGAATTGTTTTACATTTGTCATTTCAGGTCTTTCATAGCTTGCTATATGTCATTTGGTCCCCAGTGGAAAGTTGGCTCATTGACAATCATACCACATATTCCTATTTTTATTATTATACGTATATATATAAAAATAAGAAGATGTTGTATGATGCCAATGAGACAACTTTCCATCAAAGTTCAAATGAAGTGGATGTAGTAAGTAATATAACATTAAATGAAATTTAAGTACGAAATTTAAACAGGTTTATTGATTTTTACCATTTATAACACGTAAGTGATGTCATTGCCAGCTTGTCGTGAATTCGATCAACAGGAGGGTAAACAAATATGATATTGCTGCTTATCCGCTAAGCAGGAACATTTGGAGCATATAACACAAAAATATATCCGAATGGGTGACATATCTTCCTATGGACTGTGATTCTGTGCTTTTGCAAGTCAAAACGTTTGGCAACCTAGTTGCAACGACGTTTGGTTTTTCTCAGGTTTTGTGTACTTCTCCTTTTTGCAATTTGCCTTGGAGTATATTTGTGAATACGTTTTTCTACATCAACGTAATTTGGTCTCTGATGGATAGTTGTCACATTGACAATCATTCCACATCTTCTTATTTTAAAACAGTTTAGTTAAACAATACAAAAAATCATATATTGATAAGATGCTATCTTTAATAACTATTTGATACAAGATAAGCATCCATCCATCTTTTCAATAAAATGGTTCATACCGAAACAGATGACACTTGTATATAGTTTTTCTCACTTACCTTTGCCAATCATCTCTGCTAGTGTCAGTGTATCTCTTTCAATAAGTAGTTCCTTATCTTTCAACACTAACAGTATGTCGTCATCCAACATGATCGTGGACCAACATTCAGTTGCATCTTCCTGTAATTCTTGTTCAACATCCTCTGCAAGTTTTAACATGTATGAAAATTATCGTGAATCTGAATCTATTATTGATTGGCTTTTACACGTGTTTTGAATATGTAAGCCGTATATTACTAACATACTTTTTTCGGTTTGTTCCAAATAATCCAAGTCACATACCTTCCATTACGGTATAGATAGATTTATAATTCAAGGATAGGAATCACACCTGTCGTGCAAATTAATGGCAAAAAATGTTTTTAAAAGTACCGGAGATATTTTTTAGCTAAATCTAATTCTATCTTATTTTATTTTAACAACAATAACATAATTTTGTTTTATTTTCATCTATTGTTTGATTGCAAGCTTCTTGTGAAGGAAGTATAAATGCATCTCATACATGTATATTCCAGTGTACTTGAGATAAGGAAAACTACCGAAACTATAAGTCTTCTTCATATCTTGATATTTTCCTCGATATGAAGAGATTGACGACTTCACAACAAAAATCGATGTTTTCAATTTTCTCAGCAGGAAAATTATCTCAACCCAATCGTTTGTCGTATACATATCTCAATTTGTATGTTACTCTCTTGCATGTTCACACTATATGGACTTTATTATCAGAGGTGTACTCCTTACAGAAAAGCTGCTCCAACAGGGCAATAAGGAAAACGACTGAAATAGACACCACATAAGTAATAAAGTTACCATCACGAATTGGTTGACCGATGTGACGTGACCGTTTTTCAAAACATCGGCGACATGTTTCGCGGTCTTAGATCTTAAAATACCAGAATGGTAATCTGATCTGATCTGTAAATTCGTCGATTGTGTCCCGCTCTTTTTAGAGTTCATGCGATTCACTCACTTTTTGTTTTTACCTTGATTTGTATCTCCTTAATGGATTAATTAGATTTGAACATCGGTTAACTATTGCTGCAACTAATTGATATCCTTCAAGTCTTTCTTATAGTTGAAAATCGTAGTGTTGTTCCCAAAAGAGCACAAAATACTTACCACTTTGCAAATTTTCAATTCCAATGACTATCTGTTCATCAGGAAAAACTCCCACATTCTGATATTTATGGTCTTCCGAACGCCGTTTGAAAGGTCCTATTCCCATTTGTTTTATCACAAAAACAAGTACTATAATACAGCATGCGACTAATCCTAAGATAACAGTCATTGCAATGATTCCTGATGACAACGTTTGGGTCACTCCCGGTAACAAATCTGATAATGGTTGATCTATGTAAATAAGTTCTCCAATAAAGTAACTGCTATACCCAACATTAACCTAGTGGAGAAAATTGTAGCTTATTACATTAGAAAAAAGTCTGTTCATTTCAAAATCAACTTTTAAGCAGTGATTTTCTGTAATACTATTAACGGTACCAATTTTACTGCACCAGATGCGGATTGAGAAAATGGACAGAAAAAGGCGTACATCCACAAATTTTAAAAGGGTTCTAATTATTCCTCCTAGAAAAAAGGTCTAAAGGTATTTGAAAAAAAACCTTCAGTAAAAAAAGTGATTCATTCGTCGAACCATCCCCTTCCTGGATCCACCAGTGCATTAAAAAACAGATCTAATTGAAACCAGACATAAAGAAATGAAATTGAAAAAAATACATATAACAGAAACCTCCTTCATAAAGCTTTCCAGAGGAAAATGGAAAGTAATTACAAAACTACTAAAACTTAGCTATGTTTATTCTTATGTCATGTTCCCTTTATGTCGTAGGTGCTTATACGTTGTAATTGTTCTGTACATTGCTACAAAATGGTATTAAGCAAAATGAGATACAAGATATATCGTATGTATCAGAGGTTTGAATATTTAAAAACTTTATATGCCTTATATAAGTCGTAAGCTTCATTCAATGATCCACTCGCCCTATTTAAATATTTAATATATTTTTACAAATTCAATGTGCAGTGAACTATAGACAACAGTTCGGACAAAACACGAATATTTGCTTTCTGTTTCATTTGAAAACGACAAAACGCATCTTGACACAAATATAGGCACACGTTAACCTTCTTTTTCAAAGCACGTTTAAAGTGGCGTCACCAGGCATAGTCGCAAATTTCCCTTCATCACAAAAATAACATTATGGGAAAGCAAAAAATATTCACGTCATAGTTGATTTTTTACCAATGAAAACTGACCTAAAACTAATCACATATTGATTAAAAAAGCTTATACCGTTCGGGGCAAGTATAAATAGGTTAAGAATTAGAGAAACAGCACCTTTACCCTTGTATTACCTACCACCACTGTCTTCCTTCGTTCTGTGCTATTGAGAGACGATGGCTTATCCTTTGGAATGCATAACAGCATTGTGTATTTCATTTTGGATACTTCACAAGAAGAATTACCTATCTTTACTGTTACGTCTTTGGTGGTAAATCCATAATGAAAATATTCTCCCTGTAAACATATTAATGGTGAGACAATGTTAAAAAAAGAGAGGCGACAGACTTCAAAGGGGCATTCAAACTCATAAGTCGAAAACAAAATGACGACGTCATGGCAAAAAACGAAAAACAATAGGATACAAATACAACATAAAAACCAAAAGCAACATGAGTCCAACCAAAGAACGGGGGTGATCTTAAGTGTTCCGGAAAAGTAAGCAGATCCTGCTCCACTAACAAAGCTAATAAGAAGTAAAGTAGCTTCACACAAAAAGGATGTCACTCTAACCTTTATTTTACGCTTCATTGACTTTGATTAAGTGTTATGTCTCAGTTAAGATCTCAATAAACTAAGACTTTCAATCATAATACTTTGTATAAGGATACATCTCAAGAAGTAAAGCAACTTTTTTTTTAAAGAAGGTCACTCTGACCTTTTTGTACGCTTAATTGACTTATGTTTGCATTAACGTCCGAGTTGGGACATCCTAGTATTTAAAATCAAAACCATGTTCATACGACAGAAGGTCACTATCTACTTACTGTTTCTACCAAAATTATCAGACGACTTCAACAAGAGTTATTGCACTTCAAAAATAGTTCTGATCGATTTTCGAATTACCCTATTATCTATAAAACTGTATTGGGTAGAAAGAAAATTTTAACTGCATAATGATCCTCCTCAAAAGATATTCAATTACCAATTCACCAGACAAGGCGTAAGAGCCGTTAAATAACGATTTGTTAACCCATTTTCATGTTTTTCCCTGTAACTCTAACATTATACTAGATATATAGTAACAGTTATCTGCAAAATTAGATCTAAAATATACCAATAAGACTGAAACCACAAATTGGTTTCTGATGAGAATGTTTTTGAGCCGAAAGATTATTTTAACATATTTTTGTCCCTAATTCTGTGGAAATCTGTAATATATAAAATAGACATACAGATTCTGTAACACCATAAATATATAAAAAAAGATCTACAAAATTGCAAATATGACTGAAATGATCCATAGACTACTTATAGGAGTCATTCCAATTAAATGATCACATTTGAACAATGTTAGGGTTTTTCTGGTTAGATTTAAAACTATGACAGAATGTAAGAAACTATTATCAACAAATAATAACGATCAAAGCAAGAGTTATAGCCCTTTGATATAGATTTTCTGAACTCAAAATTACATATCAAAATGGCTTATGTTTGTCAGGTGCTAGGAGAGCAATTCAGGCACTTAAGAGCCTCAAGTTTTAGATAGTTCTTATGAGTTAGTTGTAGGATCTAATTATATACCATCCCGAAGCTCCTGAGGTCACATACGATTTTTTAATGGGATTCGTATTGCTCAGTCTTTAGTTTTCTATATAGTTTTTGTGAACTTGGATCTTTTTTTCGTAATCATTTGTTATATTGTCATGGCGATGTCAGTTTCTCTCCAATCTAAAGTTTTGAATGTCCCCTTATTATCTTCCTTCTCCTTTTTGTAAGGATGAATGTAAAAACTCATCAAGTATACCAGGCTGGTAATTTGATACGGCAGATGCGCGTTTATTAGTAATGGATGTATGTGGCATAAATTCGATTTGTTATATCTAAATCCCGTCCTTGAGCTCTCGTTGTACAAAACAATGACAAAATACGACTTATATGGGCATTTTTGAATTTCATAAGCAACATGATGCTCGTTACTTGTAAAGCAGGACCGGCTTGCTCTTCAGATGCATATGAGCTAAATAAGGTTCTTGATAGGGTTCATATCGCTCTGTCCGCAGCTTTATGTTCAGCATTTTGTTGTCTGTTGTTTGTCTTCTGTCTTCTTTCTTTTGAATATGGTCTCCCTGATTTTCTCGAATTCGATTTTAATTGCCCCTTGCAATCTTTAAACTATTTCAGTGTTTCTTTTTTTAGTTACGACACATTTTTCCAAAAATAGCTCAATTCATGTTATTTGACTTCGTATTCGGCACCTTAACTAAAGAGTATGTTAATATATTAAAGCACTGACCAATCGCATTTGAATTAGAGCGAACGAAGCGGGATCGTACAGCAATAAGTGTAAGAAGAATGTTTTAACCACCATATAATGATACCTTTTAAGAAATAATGATCTTAAGGTTGTTTATCTGAGTAGCTACATTTAACATTTAAGTCGTAATCTCCAGTTTGTATGAGGTTAATGTTACTTACCTTTACTATTTATGTTGTGTTTTTAGGAGTGTTATTTTTATTTGCGTCATTTTTCTTTTAGACTTCGTTTTTTTTTCCATTCTTAATTTACATCTTGGTAAATTGTTTATTTTAACTTGTAGAGCTCAAAAAAAAATGCTTACTTTATATTTAAAAGGTTAGAAAATACTCATCAAAGATACCAGGCTTATAATTTGTTTCACAAGACGTGTGTTACGTCTACATAAGACTCCCCAGAGGCACTCGAATAAGAATAGTTGAAAGACCAAATTAAAAACGACGTTGAAGAGCATAGAAAACCAAAATTACCGAAAGTTATGAAGGGTATAAAGAACCTGAGTGCTTCGAATAATTTAATAAAAAAAATTTACACAACATATTCAAACATTGCCGTATCATTGATATTTGATGTCAACACAGTAGTAAAAGTAAAGTAAAAGTAAAAGACAAATAGTTATAAAATTGTTCAATATTTTTACATATGTGCAGTAGTCATATTCTTTAACGTTTGTTTTTTTTCTGGAAATTGATAGTTTATGTAGACCTAAAACATCATCTAGACTTAGCTTCCCTTGAAAAAAAAATTCCAGATCAATATATAGTATAGATAAAAGGTCTAGTATGAATTTTGATGTATTTCATATGATGTAGAAAAATTTAGCACCACTGGCACCACATGATATGTATTATTGTTAAATCATTTAAGGGGCGATTTACAATGAATGCACACAATTCTATATATAAACCCATTCTTAACAAATAGCCACGTTCTGTGCCCTTACTTATATAACCAGGAACAATGTACCTTTATTTCCAGCTCTTCTTCGGTAATCAAGAAGTATTTGACATTTGTGGCCCCTGTAAATTCGTTAAAAACAGGATTGATGAAATATTCTAGATATCTATTCAAATGTCTGACTGATTCAATCCCGTCCATTATAAAACCTATGTTCACTGATTTCCCTCTACAGCATGGTAGATTATGTTCCAATATTCTGGAGATATCTGGTGCTGGACATAACATTAGTGTACCATCATCAGAGTTGTTGTAACATGTCTGAAAAAGTTGTAATACACAATGGGCAAAGCAATCCTACTTCATAGGAACAGGACATAAGATTAATACTGGTCAACATATTTGATATAAAAATCAAATTTGAAATAAAATATCGATCAGACTTCGGTCTTACTTTATTTTAATTGGCTAGTGAGAATTAAAACTCTTTTAAATATTGCATAAGTGAACATTGTTAAACTTAATCAAGTACTAACTTCTAGGGCAGGATCGTTTACCTTCCAAAGAAATACATTACAATCATTAGCAACAATCTTTCTCAGACTAATTAACATAGTGACAGGGTTCGATACAGATTCAATGGGAGAATATATTTCATATGAATGTTCAAGTTATTTAAGGACTATCACCCCTAAACAAGGAGTCAATTGATACTTTTCATCATTTTATTTTCTTGTAGATCTTGTTTTTATTATATATGCTGTTTACAGTTTTTCTGTGTTTTTGTCTATTATAGTTTTCAAGATAAGTGCCTAAAACAAAAGATTTGGTAGCAAATTATCATTTCGGAACGGTTAGTCCTATAAGTTGTCGATTAATAAATTTAGGTAAGGTCACCAATTAGTAAATTACCTTGCTGATCATTTTTGCCGTCTCAGTTTCTATTGGCCTATTATAGGTCTTTGAATTTAATAAACAAACATGCAACGTATGAGTACTGTAAAATTAGCATTTAAAGTAAATAACTCCGTTGAGGACTTGATAGACATTTTCGGTCATTTGACTTATTTGTAGATATTGCTTTCTTATTATTGTTGCTGTTGATAACTTTCTCTATCTTTTATAGATGAAAAAAAATTGCTGTATGCGCCGGAATTTGTGCCAATTGTCATTCAATGACAATTACTTCTTTATGGAGTCGATTGTCAATTTATGACATGTTGCCTTATTTGTGGATCTTGTTTTTCTGATAATTTTCTGGTGCTAACAGTTTCTTTCTATCTTTAAAAGTTGACGCTATATGTGCTATAGCACAAAATAGGGACACACATCGTCATTGTAGGGTAAAACGTCCTACTAGTCATCGACAGATGATTTTAACAGTACTATCTTATGTGTAGATGTTGCTTATCTGTACATATGTATCAACTCACTAGTGACATGTGTTCGTGACTTGGATATTTAGATAACAGAATACTTATCGTTTGATCTGTATAATTACCGAATTTTTCTATTCCCAATTATAACAAATTCAATTTCCATCCGGTTTGTCTTTATTTGGGTCCATGTGAATCCATCAGTTGTTATTTGAACCCTGATATGTATGTTCTAAATGAATTTATGAGCTTTTAACATCGGTAAACTAATGTTGCCTTTATTTTAGGGAATCAGTTTCGCTGTTTAAAATTTCTCTTCGTTTTTTTCAAATTTATAATATTATATAAAAACGAATTAATTGGTATACATTATCATTGAATGGGAATATCTCTGAAAAGGAGTCAATTTATTATTTCGGCCATGTTGACTTATTTTAGATAGCTACACTCTATCTAAATTGATTTTTGCCAAAAACGAAAAATAGGTACAAATCGTATTTTATGGCAATAACTCATATAAAGACTCCGGATACGTTCTGGGCTTGTTGACTTATTTGTAAATCTTATTAAGCTGATCATTATACTGTTTAAAGTTTCTATGTCTATTGTAGTTTCAAAATTATAGTCAAAAACGCAAAAAATGGTAAAACACGTCAATGAAGGACAATAACTCCTATTAGGACTTTCGATGTTAGCTATATTGGCTTATTTATAGATTTATTTGAGCATTATTTGCCAAATTGATGCTTATCTCTAGCTAGTGTAGATTTTAATAAAATAGCAAAAACATGTTTTAAACATTGATATTTTAGTGGCAATAATCCCTTAGCTAATCTGAAAACACCAAGGTATATAGATATTGACATGCCCATAATTTCAACCCAATATCGGTCTTGCTTCACATGCTTTAGTTTTTTAGATAGGCTTTAAATCTGCGATTTTACCTGCCAGTTCTATTTGTAGTAGCCGTTGCAATTTTTTGCTGGTCGAGGAACTTTATCGACTTAATTATGCGAGTAGAAACCTTTAGTAGTTAATGATGCTGGTGGTCCAAATATATTCAAGGATATTGATTGAGAAGTTTTTTTTTAAATATTAACAATGGCAATAAAAGAGGAAAAATGACGACGAACACCAAGTGATTGCAAAATCCCACCTGGATTTAAACAAGACGCTAATATTAGTATGACACAATGCCTTCCTTTTTAATTCTTAATAGAAGAAAAGCATGTGTATTAACTGGTCTTCAAAATTTATAAATCGATTGAGAAAAAAACAAATCCGGGTTACAAACTAAAACTGAGGGAAACACATCAAATATAAGAGGAGAACAACGACACAACGACACAACAGAAACTCAACACTAAAATGCAACACACACAGAAACGAACTATAATATAACAATGGCCATTTTCCTTACTTGGCACAGGACTTTTAAGAAAAAATGGTGGGTGGAACCTGGTTTTGTGGCTAGCCAAACCTCCCGCTTTTATGGCATTGTCAAGTTCTCATATGAGATAATATATCTCATATGAGAACTTCAAGAAAAGTCTCGATTCTTTTTAAATATTTTACTTTTAAATTATGGAATCAGCTGCCAAATCACTTTAGACAAGAGGAAAATTTTAAACAGTTTCTTAAATAGATTTCTACCTGGTACAGCAGCTCATGACACATTCGTGCATAATGACCGCTAAAGTGCTTTTTAATGCTTTAATTTTGGGAAAGCATGCTGCTTGAAGTATGTATAGTAATCTAGGCGATTCAAAAGATTTTCCGAGCTCATGTTATTGTTTACTTGCACAAGGACTTTTTGTTCGGTTTCATTGATTTGACATTTTCATCACTGACTTCTATGTGTATGTTCGAAAATATGTGCCTTAGTTTCATAAGTAAAAAGATTCTGGTTGATTAGGAATTGTGTACTTTTATTTCTAATAGCATGTTTTTCGAATTGCCCATGGTAAAACTTAGTCTTCTCCTGGGGCTTCAGTCTGTTATATTTATTTGTCGATCCGTCCTTTTTAGTAATAATCCTTTAAGTCGGTCAAAATCATTTGATTAACCTGAGTTGTTTGGTACTTTTTTTATGATCTCTTATCGATGAGAGAGACGAAAGATACCAAAGAATTAATCGACTAATAAGGCAAAAAACTGACAATGCCATGGCAAAAAGCAAAACATAGCATAACGAAAAACAACAGTATACAAAACAAAACGTAGAAAACTAAAGGCTAAGCAGCACGAACCCCACCAAAAATCGGGGGTGATCTCAGATCTTGTACTACATGTGGCACCAGTCGTGTTGCTCATGTTAGTTCAAACCCGGTAATAAGTCTAATTCGGTAGGGCACATTCGAGGAAAAGAGGACGGGATTGTGGTTACGACAGTTGGAACATATCCGTCGTCATCTGTAAAACAGATATTCCATAACGGTCAACCAGCTCGTGATCGCGTCCGTTAAATTTTCGAAGGAATGATTTCATCTTAACTACTAGGACTTCGTTTTGAAATTTTCCTTGTAGGCTGCAACCCTCTATAAAGTAAATATTGATAAGAAATGTAAGCTCTGGAATAACGTATCAACTGCAGATATATACTAGATGTTGATTTAACCTTGAAATTTCAAATAATAAGACAAGTATATTGTGAAAGTTGCGTTGTAATCGATTTTGTCAATTTATTTTCAGTTTTTAATAAAAATGAATTTATGTTCTATTCCGGTTGAAAGTTATTACCGTAAAATCACAAATGTTTATGATACTCAATGTTCTATAACAGAGAGTTGCTTCTGGGATGGCAAGATATTAAAAAGACAGGCGAAGGATACCAAAGGGACATTCAAACTCATAAGTCGAAAATAAACTGACAAAGCCATGGCTAAAAAAGAAAATGACAAACAGACAAACAACAGTACACAAAACACAACATAGAAACCAAAGACTGAGCAACACAAACCCTACCAAAAGGGGGAGGGATCTCAGGATCTCAGGTTCTCCGGAAGGGTAAGCAGATCCTGCTCCACATGTAGCACCCGTCGTGTTGCTCATGTTAGTACAAATCGGGTGATTATTCTAATTCGGTAGGTTACATTTGGGGAAATGGGGACGGGATTGTAGTTACGACAATGTTAAGTGTTTACTAGAATTGAACATATGTTAAGTCTTATTTACCACTGACGCAGTCTTTTTCTTGTTGTGAGGCAGATAGGCTACAATCTTTGGTTCTGTTACTATATGAAGATTGGTTCCAGTTACTGTGATGACAATACCACCACTAAAACAATTAAGTACATTCAGGTATAGTTTAGAATCAAAATATTATAATGCACCTGTGCTGATCTAACTCCAAATTATATTCTAATATTTTTAATTAATTCTTCCACACCTTGAGGACATATTTCAAAACATAATAGAAGCAGAGATAATACATTATCTATATTTAAATTAAATCTGGCATTGCATTTTCTATTTCTAAAAAAAAAACACCAAACACTTTCATCGATGGCAGTGATTGGTTTCATGCTCGAATGTTGAATTTCACAAATTATCATTACCGATCATGGATGGCACTATTGTTTTATTATACTAAAGTACACGAAATGCCTATCCACAAAAAATCTTATAATAAATATTGCTTCATTCGTAAGTGAAAACATGTACCTTCTCAAAATAGATATATTTAATAAATATATACTCAGTGCCAATAGAAACGCGGTACAATGTATTCTAATCCACCTTGGTCCATTTTCTGAATGACAATACAAAAAAGGTCTTTGAGGCATTCGGAAATATGCGTTATTCAAACTGTTAAGTCTCAAATCGATTAATTTCAAGTTTTGAAACTTGAGACTTTGCTTAAAGGGGTGAAAACAAAAATGAAAAATTATATCCAAATGTGATCACACTGTACCAAATTCAAAAGGTTAATTGTTAAACTGCGTCACTTTTTCAGACAATTTGCTAGAATGGTTCATTGTGATAAAATGTGCATCCAAAGTGCAAAGGAGAAGGAATAATCTGGCTACTTTGTTTGTACCTTGAATTCTAATTTATAAAAATATTATGAATATACCGAAAAACACCCTTCATATGTTCACTAGACATTGGTATTTCAGATCAATATTTTTAATTGTGTCTGACGTATTGCATTAGGGCTTCATTCTTCATGCATTTCATCAAAAACTCCAAAATAGAATCATTTTAAGATCTTGTCATTTGTATTCAAACATAAATTAAAGAGACTGTAGGTTATCGATGTTCAAGTCTTTACACAAAAAGATAATATCTTTTTTGTTTATTCTTTGCTTAGGACAATTGTCTGTTTTATAGTTCAATTTTCAAGATGTTTATGACATCGTATGGCGATTACATATCTCAGTTAATTCGTTACGCCCGTGCATGTTCATGATGTACAGACTTCATTAACAAGGGTGTGCTCCCTACACACAAACTGATCCGCCAGAGTTATAAGGAAGAACGACTGACATCACTACATAATGTTTACGGTCACCATCACGAATTGGTTAACCGATACGATATGTCGGTCTCTCAACTCACAAGCGACATTTTTTTTTTTTGCGGTCTTATTTCTTTAGAAACCAGTTAAGTCGTCGGATCTTTAATATAACCGATTGTGTTCTATTTCTGATTATGACATTTGGAGTGTGAATTCGCATTGTGGGTGATGCATGCTTAGCAGGCGATGCATACCCTCTCGATGCGTCGGTCTTGCTCCTGTTGTAGTTCATGCAATACACTCAGTTTATGTTTTTTAACTTATTTGTTTTTGCCTGGTTGAATTAGGAGATTGGAACAACGATATGCCACTGTTGCCTTAATTTTTCTGAACAGAAGTGCCCAGATGATACCAGCCTATTATTTTATTTGTGGAACTAATGTGATTTTTATTAAAAAAAAATTCCAGAAATGTTCCGAATAGAATAGAGAATGGAAACGGGTGATGTGTCAAAGAGTCAACAAACCGACCAAAGAGCAGAAAACAGCCTAAGGTCACCAATGGATCTTCAACGCAGCGAGAAAATCCCGCACCAGAATGTTCTATGAAATTACAACGACTGAACATCTTCGAAGATGAAAGAGAAGATCTCTGTGGTACTCTGTTGGCGGTTAAGGTTAAATTCAAAATAAAAATAATCGTTGAATTTGTTAATAACATTGAACAACTTCCATTGGCACTTTCAAAAATGTATCTGAAAAGATATTTACTTATGTAGTGTATGTAATGCTCTAATAATATATATATATACAACCAGCTAAAACGCCATTCTCCTTCCTTGGCAACAGAAGAGGAAAAAGCAAACATCTTCATACAAAATACACTTTAATAATTAACAATCACTCACTTTACACAAAGGTAACAAAGAGTGATTTCTACTATTTATAGAAGATTAACAATCAGAATAAAAACTAAATTTATCAGAAAAAAAAAATAATTCGTCAGACTTCACCCTCGCACCCCAACCAACACTAACCTTACCCCGGAAGTAAACAATAGAAATCTGACAAAGTTAAAGTAATCAAAAAGTTTATATTTACGAAAACACTTTTCCGGTTGTTTTCAGAAAAAAAAATATAAAATTCTCCGGAATTTTCAAATTAATCTTAACTAAAAACACTGACAAATAGGTTTTATCTCCTTATTTTTATATTTAGTGAGTTTTCTTGTTCCAATTATTTGGAAAGATTTGATTTACGAAATAAGAATTCAATTCTAGTTATGCAGGTATCACATACTTTTATCCGCCGGATGCCGGATCTATATAAATAGGGTGCAACTATTAATCCAGCATTCTGCCTCTGACGAAGTTCGGTGAAGAACTGAAACCGGTAAGGCTATAAATCATCACCAGGCGCTGTTATTTGTGTGATTTGGCATATCCTAAATTTTATAAGAACTCAATTCTAATTCTTCAATTTTGCAAAGAGATTTGAAAATAAACATGGAATTCTTTTCAGTTTTAAACGCAATTTTAAATTGTTGTTTCAAATGTGGATCATTTTGTCATATTGTTAATTTAAAAAAATCAAAAACGCTGCACTTACAATCACTTTCATTTGCAATAACAAAATGAAAAATTATATGAGGATATAATATTTTCAATTTGTTAAATTGAAAAATGTTAGGTAAAACATTTCCATTTTTTTTAAGTGATTGGCGAATTACAAAATTATGTGCAACAATTATGTGCAACAATGCAATCAATTTTTTTTAATGTTCTTTCAATTAACAATTAATTAAAGTTTATTTAATTTTTTTTACTCAAGAAAAAAGAAAACTCATATCTCATTACATAGTGATTTCAGTTACAGATTTCAAAATTGCAGAGCATTAAACAATTTCTATTTATGAAAACAAATGGCAAAACGTCTGGCGTAAATAAACATGGATAATAATCTTATGACAATTATGAATCAATCGGGTTTTTTTTTAAATGGTCGAATCCAAAGTTTAGCTTTTCTAAATAGTAATATTAGTAATACTGAAACCCATCCAATCAAAACGGAGAAGTTGATAAATGAATTTATAACACAATATAAATTCGTTTGAATTGTTTTGCATTTTGAAATGTCGAGGAATTTTATAGCTTGCTGTGTGGTATGATTTTTGTTCAGTGCTGAAGGCCGTACGCTATCCTATAGTTGCTAGCATTTATCTCATTTGGTCTCTGGTAGATAGTTATCTCTTTGGCAATCAAACCACATCTCCACATTGATATTGTATAATAACGATATGAACGCGCGTGACATGTATATCTGGAATAACATTTATCCGTTGGGATCTAGACCAAAAGGTTGGTGAATCAAATGAATAACCCTAGTTTAAATTAAAATCTGAAGTTTTCGAAATTGTTAATTTCAATCAGAATGCACGAGTTATTTTCATATCAGTCCAAAAGACGATTTCAGTGCGCATGTCGATTAATAAAAAGACGGTGAATTTAAATTTCACCAATGGTGCATTACAAAAAATATTTAGTCTCATTAGGACGATTTTGTATAATTACAAAATCTAAAGCAATTTCTAATTCGTATATTCATATGTAAATTATTAACTCAGCGATTTCGTTACCACAAATTAATCAAAATCTGTACTTAATTTTTTCATAAATACAAAGATTTGGTCAGACGGTTTGGCTGTATCTGTCGAATTCTAATCTTACGATGATGTTGTTTACAAAGCCCGTAAATTTAGACATGATCCATGTAAATAATTGATTCTTTGAATAACTTATTTTTTTTTAAATTATCAATTTACCACAGTAGTAAAATCTTTAAGTATTGTTTCTATCTTTACTTACATTGATTTTGCTTTTGAAAAATTAAAAATAACTAAATATATATTCCTATATATTTACAGTTATGATAATTCATGATCCTACATCCTGTCGATACTGTTTATTTATATTTTGGCATTGCACAAGGTCATGCGTTTCTCAGACTGTTTATGACGATAGTTGTAATTTGCTTAAATTAGCTTTATAGCTGCAAATACTTTATTTCGGTGTTTTATGTCTATTGTTTTTATGTTAGTTGTTTTGTGCCTCGTACCGATCTCTTGAGTTAACCCAATTGCAACAGATTTTTACAGTGTGTTCTTATGTTGTGCTATCACAAAACTGTCCAAGGTTAGGGGAGAGTTGAATGCTCACAAACATGTTAAACATTCTTTATGTGCCTGTCCCAAGTCAAGAGCCTGTAATACTGTGGTTGTCGGTGGTTCATATCTGTCATATTTGTTTTTCGTTCGTAAATTGTTTTTTTTTATTAATTAGGTCGTCAGTTTGTTTCGTTTGAATTATTTCGAATTTTTCATGTCGGTGCCTTTTATAGCCGACTATACGGTATAAGTTTTGCTCATAGTTGAAAGCTATAATTTCTTACTATCACTTAATTTGAACTCTGGTTGATAGTTATCTCATTGGCAATCATACCACATCTCATTTTTAAAGTAATCACATTTTTGTTTGTCGTGTAAAAACTAAAACTGGAACACAAAAACGTTTTCCGATTTGCATAAAAATGGGGCATGAACATTGGCTTACCTACTGCCAGGAATACTCTAAGCAAATGTGTACACATAATACCTTATTCTTTAATTTTGGGGCTTTGTGTAAAAAATAGAAAGCTTTTTCCAATAATGTTACGATTAACGGGATAAAAGGATACGAACATTTTTTTGAAATGTTTAATATCTGTGTTAACATTTGCTAAAATCCATCTAAGAAAAGTTCTAACAAAGCATTCAGAAAAATGTTGGATTTTATTGAATAATCAGTACCTAGCTTTCATGATCTCGTAATTTGAGCAGAAACTACTTTTTCAAAAGCAGTTGAGCGCACAGTTTGGTTTTGATAAGTGATACCATTGTAAATACTTGATACATGTGATCATCGTCTGAGAAATTATAGCGTATTAATACTTTAACTTACCTTTGTATTGATTGGATTGGTTCTATACCTGTGATAGTAGAATCAGCCATATATCTGTATCTGTTATTGAACTGATGGGAATATCCGTCCATAATAACTTTAACCGGTAGATCAAGGTATGAACTTACATAGCCCTCCAATTTTGAAGTAATACATGTTATTGTTGTGTTCTGTATCCCTATTCTAGAATATTAAACAGTATATGATGTATGTTAAGTCTAATCTGAATAAACGGAAATATTGGGTATACGCCAAAGAGACAACAATTCAACGAAACAAATAACTAAAGAACATGAATTCGTGGTAATGTATGTTGCTGTTATGTAAAATTGTTATTTGGAATCGTTTTGTGGATTTGTAAAAAGGAATATATAAATGTTTGATAGAGAGAGAAAAACTTGTGACATAATAATAAACATTACACGTTACAATAGACAGAAGACTTTTCATTATACCATAGAAATGAAGAAAGGCTATTACGTTTACGTAAAGATCATACGTACATATCACCTGATAGATGTTAGAACAAAATTTGTTTTGTATAATAAAATTGAGAATGGAAATGGGGAATGTGTCAAAGAGACAACAACCCGACCATAGAACAGACAACAGCAGAAGGTCACCAACAGGTCTTCAATGCAGCGAGAAATTCCTGCACCCGGAGGCGTCCTTCAGCTGGCCCCTAAACAAATATATATACTAGTTCAGTGATAATGAACGCCATACTAAACTCCAAATTGTACACAAGAAACTAAAATTAAAAATAATACAAGACTGACAAAGGCTAGAGGCTCAAGACTTGGGACAGGCGCAAAAATGCGGCGGGGTTAAACATGTTTATGAGATCTCAACCCTCCCCCTATACCTCTAGCCAATGAAGAAAAGTAAACGCATAACAATACGCACATTAAAATTCAGTTCAAGAGAAGTCCGAGTCTGATAGTTTGTTGTGTTGTGCCGTTACACCACTGTACCATGTTAGGGGAGGGTTGGCGCCTTCAAACATGTTAACTCCGCCACATTCTTTATGTGCCTGTCTCAAGCCCCGAACCTGTAGTTCAGTGGTTGTCGTTGATTTATGTCTTTTATATTTGTTTTTCATAAATTGGTTTGTTAAATATTATGCCGTTAGTTTTCTCAATTGAATTCTTTCATATTTTTCATGTCGGGGCCTTTTATGGCCGACTATACGGTATGGGTTTTTCTCATTGTTGAAGGCCTTACGGTTGCCTATAATTGCTAACATCCACTTCATTTGAACTTTGGTGGATAGTTTCATTGGCAATCATAACACATCTCCTATTTTTATATTGAAACAGTAGCCAGTGCTTTGGTGTTGGCATGATTTAGATGATGAATCTTCCTTTAAGTTTTTTTTTTAAATTATGCAAGCGAACTAAAACCAAAGTTGCAAATTCTTATGCAAACTTAGCCGTAGCTGGTTATGGTTTTCTTTCTTTTGTTTGAAATATTTTGAAGTAAATACATTATAATATTGGTTTGAAGTATAGCACATCATTTTGTTCTTTGTTAAAAGCTTGAGATGTTTTATCGCTTTGAGGTGAATATATGTTTTACAACACTTATCACTTGTTTTCATGTTCAAACTTCCCCTATCCGACAAAGTAAGATAAGAGTAGCAAAATTAAATCCTCTGTTTTAGCCATATTTGTATCTGAGGGAAGGACGAAAATTTCCCATTAAAATGTGCAGATTTAACATTGTTGGGCTCATTTTGAGACGAAGTTTATGTAAATTGTAGAGTGAGCTCTGTATAGCCCTTAGTTATCCGAAGGATACTGTCAGTCGTAAAGTAACATAAAGTCAAATATTTAGACGTATTTAGCGATATTAGAACATGATACTAAGCGAGAAGAAGACAAATCCAACGCATTATTGAAAAAACTAACAGGCATGGTTTGAAAACTATGAAAAAAGAGTATGGCGAGAGCTCCATAATGAAACGCAATCCAAAACGTGTTACTAGAGACAATAACTCAAAGCCGAAATCCTCAAAGCCTTCAACATTCCCAGAACAAAATAATGACAATTGAATAGGAGTAATTGGAAAAGGAGAAGGTCGAAGAGGATAAGGACTCGGCAGGGCAACACAAGGTTTACGAAGAAGGAGAAAAAGTATAGAGAAATCTAACAGAATTCACATAAACGGTAAATGCAGAAAATTCGCTTTTTAGAGAGAGAATCAGATCCAAAACCACCGTATTCACTATAAGAAAAATATTTAATTTTAAACGAGGACGAATAGACCTAAAAATCAAAAATCTTTCAGGTAGATCGATAAATGATGATGAAAAATTATAACTATTAAAAGGATTCAAATTTGCACCGATAACTTACTCGAATATATGAGATCTAAAACTGATGTGAAAAGTTTTACCCGACGATTGGAAGAATTTTGGAATAAAAGGACGAAGATTTTGTTAGGAACAAATTAACTTACGATCCTGAGCCAGGAAAAGGTGAATATTTTGACACCTATATAGATACGATTTCAAAGTTCCCAATTACTTCAAATAGTTGCAAACAGAACCTGTCCAGAAGAGAAAAAGCCGCACTTAAAAAAAGATTACTCTACAATCATTAAAGACGCAAGCACAGGTGGATAGAGCAATAATAATAATAATGGACATATATTGTTATAAAGATGGGGTTCTAGAAGAACAATTACATCATCAAGAATACTATAAAACGCAACAAAAAAGTCCGGATCAAGCGACACAGCGAAAGATAAAAAAGGTGATAGAAAATAAACGATGATTCGCTTACGGATAAAGAAAAAGCTTAGTATTTATGTTATTTCACCCTAAAGCAAAGTGATTTCTATGAACTACAGTAATCCTCAAAAGTCAGCAAATACACAATGCAGTCAAACAACAAAACACAACATTTATGGAAATAAATCATTCTGAAATAGAGACCAATTGTTGCTGGCCCAGAATTTACAACACAGAGATGAAGCCATTTTATAAATCGCATACTTAAATACCTGTCAATATTTACCAAGCTATATCGAAGACGATATGGATTTTTTAAGACACAATTCTTCAGGAAAATACTATTTTGACAAGTTTTGATGTAACCAGCTTATGTACTTATATTCCGCATGAACTCGGTTTCTAAGCCGTAAAGCACTGGTTCAACGAACAGTTGGAATAAATAGACAATCGATTCAAAATTGATTTTATCATCAAAGTTCTGAAAATCGTATTAGAAGAAAATAATGTTTACTTCGATAGAAAAATATATAGTCAAACAAAAGGTACGGCCATTGAAACAAAAGTTGCTCTTACATATGTACATCGGGTAATGGGATATCTAGAACAATTTTTGTACGATAAAGTAGCGGAAGTATTCTGGATCATACCAATACTTTTGTCCAAGTTTTATAAAATTCCAAAAGGGTTTGACAAAGGTATTGATGTTTTGAAAAACTCTAACCACAGACTGAACCTAAATGTTGATGTCACTGATGCCGACGACGAAATGTAGGATATCTTAAGCTCGCTTCCTATAATACTTTGAAATCAAGGATTAAACATTGAATTAGATTATCGAAATAATCAATAAAAAAGTAAATCGTAAGGAATTTATACCATTTCATTCTACACACCTTGGTTTAATAGTACACGTCCATACAAATATCTCGATCCTCTGCACTGAACCTGCATGTAGATTTCTCCCTGATATCACAATTTCAGTTCCTCCTGATTTTGGGCCAAAATGAGGCGTGAAATCATGAAATTCGGGTGACTGTAAAGTAAATTGAAAAACTTACAGCACACCTAAAAATAGTGTTCACAAATTCCACCTATAAATTATTAGATTCAAAAGTAAAAAATAAACGTGTTATCTAATTCAAACCCAAAATTTATATATAGTTAGGATATTTGTTAAGTTAATTCCTATCAAAATGGTATTACACTGTTTCAAAGAGAAAATAAAAATTTGTAAAAGCTTGATTCAAAATGGCAAACTAGTTAAATAGCTTCCCTTTTCGTTCATTCAAAATAATTTATGACTAGGTTGAGCCCCGTTCAACCAAACAGCTACATCCCCGTTTAATAGTTTGAATTCAAGTTATGCAAGAATCGTTAAAATACCAGGTACAGAAAGAGATCAATGATTGTGTACGCATTATTTTCAATAATCATATACAGTTACATAATGTGTGTCTTGTTAACTTAGATTTGTCATTCTTTTTCTTTCTTTCTTTATGTAATGAATAAATGAATGAAAGAATTTATTTATTTATCTATTTATTTATTTATTTATTTATTTATTTATTTATTATTTTTATTCATTTATTTATTTGTTTATGTATTTATTTATTCATTTGATTTTTCTACCTCTATACTTTAGATAAATTATAAGAAATTTGAGTAGTTTGTACATAGCATTGTAATTTTTTTTCGACTTATGAGTTTGAATAACCATTTGGTATCTTTCGGCACTCTTTTGTGTAACAAACTTGCTAAAATAGAGAAAATGAAAAAATGCTATTGTACAGTTTATAGCATTTGTGGTTGTACAGAATGTCGATACTTATATTTTCACTATTATAAAGATCTTTTCAAGCTATTTTATTATAAGAGATATAATGATCGATACGGCCATCGGAGTTGATGACGAATACGAAATTTATAATAGGCTATAATGGGACCATTGTATACAGCACAATACTCCTTCATTATATAGATACTTTTAGAAATTTAAACAGAAACGTCGACAGGGTATATATCTTCTGTTTTGAATGCATCACCCATCAAACGACTTTTTACAATCAGAAATATGACACAATCGGTTAATTTACAGAGAGGGTGTTTGAGTAAATTGTTATCCTGCGGAAAAAACATTTTCAACTTGGCTTAGACTCGCATAAGACTCTGCTCTATCCCCTCTCAGGTGTGGTAATAAGAACAAAATAGAGATCATATAGAACTGAATTGTGTGGAGACATCAAAGAATTTATTGAATCAAAAGTTGCCTTATTGGCAATCATACCACATGTTATTTTCTTATTTACAAAACAATTTGGCATTCATATTTATACTCACATCTGTGGTTCTGTCATTTACCTGGAGGTCTTCTTGAAATAAAGACTTATTAGAACATGCAGTTTCCTCGTTTCCACACCATCTTGGAGCTTTCTCTT